CAGCTGCCTCACCAACAGCTGAGCTAACACTGCAGCAAGGGTAAAAATGAGAAAGACAGCAAGAATGACTACAACAGCCCTTGGGTAAAGCACACTTGACTTAATGTTGACCTTTGGCAAGCGACACATCTCTTGCTTCAGCTTTTCAGCTGTAACGTGGGTAGTTTCTCTCCCACACACTTCCTAGGAACCGTGGTACAAGGATGTGTTCACAATGCTATAAAGAATGCCATAAAAATTTGCAGAATGGGTACTACTGCTGGTTATGCAGAGCCCCTGAAGAACACATGCCGTTCCAGTTGCTCCATTAACAAAAAGATTGACCTCGTACAATACTCTTGGTGTTTCATAGAAGGTGTAACTGTAGTGCTACAGATGAAAAAGAGTTCCATCCCCTGATTTTCTCTTTTTTTGTTAAAAAAAAAAATAAAAAAAATATCAATCAATCAATCCTAAGAGAGATGTGGCAACCTTACTTAGGGAAAAAAGCAAATGCCATTGCTATGCCTTAACCTCTGCTCTAGAGCCAGCCCTAAGGAGCTCTTCTGCAAGGAGTAATTGCAGATATCATCACAAGATGCAACGCCTGCTGTTGCTATGTTATGCACATGCTTCCCTAGGACAAGCTAGATATTCTTATCAGCCCTGCATAGCAATTTCTCTGCTAGATATTTTAGCTGCCTCTGCTGCGCTTTTCAGCTTTTGGTGTCCATTCCAAAGCTATTTTAGCCCAGTTGTTATCTGTACTGCTGGTGATATATTCTGGCTGCCACCATCCGTTTCTTTCTCTTTATAAAGATGTTCAATGGCTTCCTTCACAGGTTTGTCCTCTGCCTCAACATCTTGACACAAAGCTATTCCCACTGCTTGCTATCAACCCACTTGTTTCCATTAGCAGGAATTCTGTAATCATGATAAGAGACATTTCTATCAGGATGTGAAAACAAGGGAACTACCTAGGGTGCTGCAATCAGAGATTATATATAACCTTCCCTCCCACTTACCCTCATCCTTCCTCACAGCATGGGCACTGCTCAATTTTTCTCCAGCGCACGTCTTTCTTCTTCCCCTCCCACGGCATGCCCCCTTCCCTTAGCTACGCACTTTGTGACGTCTATATTCACTACAGTTGCCGCTCTCACATGGGGAAGACCATGTGGATACGAGTTTCTCTTGTACTTTTAACACATTCTTGTCAGGCATACATCAAGTAGAACATGACAAGATGCCTCATGCATCTTAAATTGTAGTAAAATACATAGTAAGGCGTATACCCAAATAGCACAGTCATCCATTCGGTACGGCAATTCCAAGAAAAATGAGGAAAGTTACACTGAAAAATGTAACACTGGGATTTCCAGCTATTCAGATGCTCAGTGATGTCTAGAAATTCTTCTGTTTTTTTGCACAAGGTATAGGAAAAGAAGCCATTTAAATCCTAGATTTTAAAGGTCTTTCTAGCTTGCAAAGCTGCAAACAGTATGCATTGCCTAGCACAGACTGGCTGCAATATGATTCTTCATTCATCTTGCTAGCCACACTCCTGGAATAAGTACTTTGCCTATAACACTGTGTAAATGTGTTTAATACTGGTTTTAGTCCCGAACAAGAATGAATGTTTCTTCATATGGCAAAACAAAACGATCACTTAGAGCTGCGTTTGAAACGCCACAAACGAATCCAGTACAGGTTCTGTTTATGCCACTCATCTCCAAATGTTTCGCAGTTTTCCCTCCTAAATCCCTGCCCTGCCCCATTTCTTTTCAGATTTGTAATCCAGGAGTCAAAAAAAATCTCAAAAAAGAACCCTATCTGGAAGGAATAGTGAAGTAGTGCTATTGGTAAACACAAATAAAGCAGTACTACAGTTGCAACGTGTTAATTAACTATCTAGAAGAGTGGGATTTTAATGACATGTGCAATATACTCACAGAATAAAATTCCTTGGCATAGAAAACAGCAGAGCCTGTGAAATGAAAAACACCTTACCTGCTCTTCACCCCTGGTAACGATGTTATCAAGGCTGCTTTACAGTCTAGAGATGCAGGTTACTTTTTTCCTCATAGCTCATTCTCTCCCAGGATTGATATATATATTTTTTTTTCCACAGCTGAACTAAGGAAGAATTGCTGCTAGATCCCATCAGGCTATGCAAGGAAAGTTTCTTGCATAACTGAGAATAGAAGGAAGAGTTCACTCGTGTGTGGTTGCTGCCTCCCTTCACTCTTCCCTTCTTCTGGGAAGAGTTGGAATGATGCTTTTTATGCAACCACAGGTGGGGTGGAATAAAGAGGGGGTGCTGGGCCAAATCTGGACTTGGGAAACTACTGCAACAGAGCATTAGTCTGTGATTTTTAATACCTGCTCTTTCTTCTGCTTCCCCTAGATTTCAACAAGTATAATTATAGCCAACAGCAGCAGGCAGTCGGCTGGTTCTTTTAGGAACTGCACCCTGAACAGGCATGAGGTAAGTCATAGAAAAACTTGTTACAAAAATATGAAGCAAAAAGAAATTCTAGAAAGACTCAAAGTAAAGGTAAAACATAACCATGTAACAGTTCCAAAAACCAGCGGGGACCACTCACAGCTATCTGCAAAAGTTGCATTCCTATTGACCTGCTTTCAGCAGCTCACGGTTGTAAATCCCAGGACTGTCTAGTAACCTTACAAACCCAGCTACAAACCTCTCGGTGTGCAGCAACAGCCCAACTTCTCTGGTACCCCGTAACAACCTCACTGACGACTGGATAAATCCTGGTGCTTGGAAGTCATTTTGCTGGCAGGCATTCCCAAACAACGCCACGGTGGCATGACCTCCACCACCACATAGCTGCGACGGTACCCACCTCCACAGGCTCCTTCACAAGGATGCTGCCCGGGAAAGCAGTGCCCGCCGATACAGCTTGCAACC